ATGTATGCATGTATGTATGCATGTATGTATGCATGTATGTATGCATGTATGTATGTATGTATGTATGTATGTATGTATGTATGTATGTATGTATGTATGTATGTATGTATGTATGTATGTTTGAATGTATGTATGCATGTATGTATGCATGTATGTATGTATGTATGTATGTATGTATGTATGTATGTATGTATGTATGTATGTATGTTTGAATGTATGTATGCATGTATGTATGCATGTATGTATGTATGTATGTATGTATGTATGTATGTATGTATGTATGTATGTATGTACAGACAATTGTGCCCTATATGGAATGACGAGTTGATTTTAATCAATTTGAGCATGAATTTAAACGGTTTGCGTCAGAAGTCGAACATACGTTAATTGCCAGTGTTGTGTAATGAAGCAATATCAAAATCACGTGTTCAGCTCGAGACGATTTCGACACGAGATGAATGTACAGAAAATAAGTTGTAGGATTAATTGAGAAGAGAATAAAAAGTCGATGACTATGCAGCATTTGCTATATATATTGATCGATATTTATCGATAACTTGCAAGTCACAGGTTTAGCCCAGATTTTTGATAAACATCCATAACTTTTAATCGAATAAACTGAAATACAACTGATGTTTATCGATACGCCGATATGTATCGATAGTTCTCTATTTAACTTTTAATTGTTAAATACCTTAACTTTAAGTATGAAATCCAACTAAACATTCAGCAAAATAAACAAAAAATGAACATTTTTAGGTTAATTAAGTGCATCATTCACACATTATTTATTTATAATTTCGATTTGGTTGCTTCAGTTTGGTAATCGGTTTTTGAAAATTTGGTTTTTTTTAAGATTTACGACACATTTAGAATAGACAAATTGATGCATACATAAATATTTTTGCAACTTGGCGCTGAAATCAAATAATCCGAATAAAAAAAACGAAAGAAAAAAAAAAGCAAACAAAAGTAACCGATAAAAAAAACACACCCACAAACGGATCGTAAGCATATTTTATGGATTGTACAAGACTAATTAATTATGGCAAAACAGAACACATAATCGTTTATTTCTTTTTTGGTATTGTTAATTGTTAATGTTTTCTTGATTTTCGATTATGGTTTTCAATTGCGATCGCCTTCTACACTGTGTTGTGCTGCCCCGCCTACCCTCACCCCAACCCCCTCTACTTTGTCGGTTTTTGATTTATCGATATATCGATTTGTTGTAACCTTTTTGCTCTCTGTGTGTGTGTTCCATATATATATATATATATATATACATGTATATGTATATGTATGTGCAAATTTGTGACCTGAAAACAAAATGCAGCGAGTGTCATTGCGAATGACAGCGACGAGTCGGCAGAGTTTGCACTCGCCACAACGCCGATTGTTTACTATGGCGATGCGAACGTGAATATCGGCGAGCCATTTTCGATAACCTGTGTCATACCGATAACCGAGAAGATACACTGGCTGAAGAACGGCGAGTCGATAACACGGCACAATTTGCGTCACGGCCACGACGAGCACTCGTACACGCTCTCGGAGAGCGCCATTGAGGGTGAGTATATATGAAGAAGAAGCAGATGAAGAAGAGGCAGGCAATTGAAGAACAACTCTTCAGGCGAGAAGCACAAAATCGAGGCACATCTAAAGGTGCGGCACGCCCTCAAGGTGCACGAGGGCCGTTATCAGTGCAACAACAACAACAATTATCGCCACAACAGCGGCTATCATATGCTGCACGTGCACAGTAAGCAGCAGCAGCAGGAGTCGCCCACGGAGAGCGGCTATCGGACCATAGACGAGCTGACGCCCAGCTCGCCGGACGAGATATTTACGCGCACGTGGCAGCAGCAGCAACAGATGCCGCAGCTGCCATCGGCAGCGCTGCCCACGCATAAGCAGCACAACAATCAGCAGCTGGGCAATGCCAGCCTCGGCTATGGCAGCCATTTTGGATTTGGCTATGAGCCGCCGACGCCGACGCGTAAATACAACGATCTGACCACGCTGCCGTGGCATGCAACGAGCGCGGGCCAGGGCATCGGCATGGGCTCCATTCATCGCATTTATTCGGCGACGCCGCCCGATTTTCCGCCGCCGCGTCTCACCCTGCTGGAGCATACGGTGGCGCCACCCGAGCCGCCCACCATACAGCTGTACAATCAGACGCTGCCGCATTATCGCCATCCGTCAATGGACACTGCCAACGCCGCCGGCGCTGCCTCTGCCACAGTCAGCAGCAGCAGCAGCGGCAGCAGCAGCAGCACAGCGCATCATCATGCGCACCAGCATGCACTTAACGCTTATCAACTGCCGCTGCCACCGCAGCCACATCAGCCGACTGCGCAGCAGCCAGCGCAGCAGCAGCATCATCAAAACGAAAAATATCAGACGTATGCGCCGCAATTTATACCGCCAGCGTTGGGTGGTGCTGGTACCGTTACAGCAGCGCCTACCGCGCTCACCACCAGCTACAACAACAACAACAACAACAACAACTTCGGGTTAATGCAGCAGCAGCCCAAGACGTTCATGCCTATTAAAAAGGGTGAGCCACACACACACACACACACACTCACACATCGAAACACACTCACTCAAATTCACATTCATAAAAACATATTCATATTTCACTCAAAGTCACATTATGCAGCTCCAGCTCAGTCAAAAAAAAAAAAGTTACTCAAAAAATACTCTAAATCAAACAATTCAAAGTTCACTCAAAAACTCACTCACAACTTTTATATTTCATTCAATTGTGCTTTGTGCGGTAAAAACAGTTTAATATGGTGAACAACATTTCAGCACACTTGCAAACAAAATAAAAATTATGAAAAATATTTGAGTAACAATTTTGTGCAGTAGTTCATTTGAGTAACTACCAACAGACTTCAGTAGTTTATGAACATTGGAATTGGCCAGCAATTTAATAAATTACAAATAAACAACACGAAAATTGCTCATTTTTGTTGCATAGTGTAGCCAAAATGAACCACTGAGCTGCGTGAGTAAATTGAACTAGTACTGAACGATAATTGAAACTCAAGTGAACGATTTGCTGGTTCACTGAACCGCTTAAGTGAACTGAGCGAGCAATCACAATACTAACTATACACAAACATACAAACTCCAATAAACACTTAATTCAGTCATTCGTCTTCTTCTTCTTGTTGTTGTTTTGTTTGCCTCTACAACAAGAACAACAACAACATCAGCAACTTCGTACATTGCGCTCGCATTGAAACTCACTTTCGTCCAGTTTTTTTTATTTGTCTAAGCCTCGCTCTTTTGCCCGTACTCGCTTGCCATGCTCTCGCTCCGCTCTCGCTCTCTCGCTCTCCTCTATCGTTATCAGCACGTCTCACATTGCTCAAACTCCCACATCGTCAGTCTATTTTGGTGTTGTTAATCGTTAATCGCTCGATAGCTCTCTCTCTTAGGCTTTGACAATTCGCCGTTACTTAACCTTGTTCCCCCTCTCACACACATACACACACACACACAGACACATACATGATAAATACAGGCAAACTTTAAGTTGAGCTTTTAATAGTTGTTGCTTGACATATATTTTGATTTATTTATGTGTAACAATTTTGGATTTGATTTGTGTGTGTCGCTATTGTTGTTGTCATTGTTGCTATTTATATATATATATATTTTAGTCAATTTATATATTTATGTTGTTTATCTCTGATTTTGAATCACACCGTTGCCAGGTGCACAGCGCTCTACTCGTTCTCTCTCTCTCTCTCTTTCTCTCTCTTACCCTCTCTCTATCTGCCTGCATATCTTCAATTTGATTGATTGGCAGCCATTTTGTTGACGCATATTAAGTTCATGTGTAATTCAGAATTGGCTCTCAGCCGCTTGTGATAAGCCGTGTTGTTTTGGCCCCAATGGCTGTGTAAACGCGACCTTATGTTTATTGCCTTTTGTTTTATTATTATTCCATTTTCGTTTCTCTCTTGTTTTGCCGATAAGGGCAATGCGAATACATGCATATGTGTATCGCTTATCGGTTATCGATACTTTTGGCTGTTGCTTTTGCTTTGCCTTTGCTTTGCGCATTTCGATAGACAACATTTAGTATTTAAATACCAAAACAACGATTATTGCTCCATTTGCAGCTAATTTTAAAAATAATTAAATCAATTATTGTAATTGCCGAGAAAACGAATTAAATACATTTACATAAATTACATATACACCGCGTAAATCAAATTTATTTGATTTCAGTCCAAGTTAAAAGAAATATATATATATAAAAAAAAAATAAATATCATTTTAAAAATATATAAACTACATATGTATTGTTAGGCGTAATAAAATTCGAAATTCACTAATAAACAAATTATTGTATGCTGTTTTTATTTATTTCAATTGTTTTAGTTTATTTTACTATTTGGGTTAATTTTATGTGGGGCCCACAAAAACAAAATATTTATTTATTTATTAATTTTTTTTTGGTACAACTAGAAATTGTGTGTAATAGTTTTGTTAAGTTGCTTAGTTTTGAATTTTAGTTAATTGTTAACTAGAAAGTGGCCAAATGACAAACATCTCAGCTCATCAGACTTGCTCTCAGACCCCAAAAACCAAATACGAATAAAGAAAACCTGCGCCAGCCCCGCCCTACCCCCAGCCCTAGCCCTACCCGTACCCCTCATCTATATATATATATATATATATTAAGCGCTCGCCTCTCGAATTTATCTACAAATACTCGTAATATTTATGCCATACTATTCAGAACATATATTTATTTATTAATTTCCCTTTGTTTTTTTTTTTTATATGCATAACTATTTAGATATAAATTTGTTTAAGCATTTATTTATGTAAACGTTGTTGCCTTCTTCTACTCTTTTATATGACCTACGATATGTCTTGTTAAATATTTGCACTAATTTTCATGTGTTCTCTTGTTTATTTTCTCTCTCTCTCTCTCTGCCACTCGCTCTCTCTCTCTCTTGCTCCTTTAGGGCCAGATTCCTTGGTGCCAAATTATGACCATGTGGAGCGTCAAATGAGATTTTACGATATCCGAACGCCGCTTGTGCTCAGCTGCAATGTGAAAAATGTGGAGTCCGACGATCCACTCATATGGTAAGTCCAACTAAATCCAAATTAAATACACCCAAACCCAAAAAAAAGGTTGATTATTTTGTTGTCCATTTACAAAGAAAAACTTGGTTTTGTTTTAGTAATGGGAAAATAGAATTAAATCTCACAACTAGTTGCAATTTGAAGCCTTTAGAAACACTGAAAATTGTTAAGAATTTGTTGTTGCACAACACTGGCCAAATATCAACTTATGCTGTAGACAGCTGGGGCTTATTTTGTTGTCAATTTCCGCAGAAAAAAATGTATTTGTTAACTTTAATGGGAAAATGGAATTAAATGCCACAACTAGTTGCAATTTGAAGCCTTTAGAAACACTGAAAATTGTTAAGAATTTGTTGTTGCACAACACTGGCCGATAGAAAATTATGCTGTAGACAGTTGAGGGTTATTTTGTTGTCAGTTTCCGTAGAAAAACTTAAAATTGTTGACTCTAATGAGAAAAAGGAAAGGAAACTGAAAGGAATTTCTTGCAGTGTTGCACAACACTGGCCAACAGGAACCTGACAGCCAGGCTGGCAGGCTGGCAGCTCCCCTGGCTCAGCATACTAGTTGGCAGTTATAAGAGCAATCATTTTAATATGGCACAGCTAAGCACTTTTGCTTAATTATGTTGCCGACCGCCAGCCCACCGCCTGCCCCGCCCCCTAACCGAACAGTTGACTGACGTAACCTGGAGAGCAGAGCATAGCATAGTTTGGGGGGCATGGGTTACGGCTTACTGCGGGCTCGTACTAAAAATTGCCCGAAAGACTTGCCCGCCTGCCGGAAGAGGGCCTTTTCCGACTCTAGTTTGTGCGAGTGTGTGTGCGGGTGTGTGTGCGAGTGTGTGTGCGGGTGTGTGTGCGGGTGTGAAGCAGCCTCGTAATGGTAATGACACTTTGTGTCGGTCGCCTGGTCTCGGGCCAGGGCCGACGCTTTGCGTGCGTGCCTCATGTTGAATTAGTCCTGAATAATTGGCACCAAAAGTTCTTGACGAAAACAAAAGGAATTTGGAATTTGGCTGACGAGAGAAGAGGTCCTTCGTTTTCTAACAACAAGTGCAGCAGTCCTTCTCCTAAGCTTACAAGACTCTTATGTATTCCCAGAAACGATAAAACAAATAGTTTGCACACTCATCGAAAATATCTGTTCAAATTAGTATGTTTTTATCGATTACTCAAGCTTAGAAAATCGATTAAAAGCCGTAAGTCAATATTGAAAGTCAATTGGCAAAAAGTTTGTAAAGAATTCGTAATAATGTGAACGATAGTTAGAGCTGTTATCGATACTTTATGCCAGATAGCAGTCGGAGGCTTTAATTGAGCTCGATTAGAATATAAACGATAAACATATGACCCCATTATCGATAATTCAAAAACCTTATATCGAAAACCAAAACTTTGTGAGAGCAGTTATCGATAGTTTCTGTCGAATAGCAGTGGGAGGCTTTAATCGATAAACATATGAGCCCGTTATCGATAACTATTCGAAAGCCAAAACTTGTTTAACAAATTATCGATATTTACGCTCAGAAAACTATCGATATTTGTGCACACGTACTATCGATTGTTTCATAAATCCAACATTGCGTCTTAAACTCATTCTCTCTTTGTGTTATCGACAGGAAAAAGGATGGCGTCAACGTGACGGACGTGCTAAGTCTGAGAGGTCGCTTCAAACTGATCCATCCCGAAAGAAAGTTCATAATTGACAGAGCGGAACCTCACGACGACGGCCTCTATACTTGTGAGTTCAAGGGCGTGTCCAGAGATATTCACGTGATCGGTAAGTCGCATCAAATATTGATAATAATGATTATTATTAATCAATTAACATCAATTAGCTCGCGTGGTCGTACGAGTGCCTTCAAATACTGGTGTTGTCGAGGGTGAGAAAATGATGATCCCCTGCACAGTTGTCGGTAGCAATCCCCGATTGTCATGGAGCTTTGGTGAGTGCTGTTCCACATGGGAAATTTCCGCTTATCTTCAAGCTAAACGAAACGACAAAACATATTCAAATTGATTTTTAGTATTTTTATTTTAGAGTAGAACTCAATACAGAGACAGATTTGTAATATCTAAAGTCTCTCAATTCATGATATGAATCAACTTTCTAAATGATAAAAATCATGTCTTGTTGCCTTTTGCAGTTTTGTGAGAATTGTTAAGTTCGTTTGAGTTTGATGAAAATATCTTGGGGCAATGTTCCTATGCCAGATATATGATATAGTAGTCCGACTTGGTATATATGCATAGTGAGACTTTTAAATGTTGAGTTTGTTCAAGATATTTGGAAAATCTAAAAATTAGCTCATACCAGCAACTTTTACTCGACCGATTGTTCCTATCAGATATAGTGCTTCGATCTTGATAGGATTTTGCATATGTGTAGGATGCATAGTCAAGATAATAAATGCCGAGCTTGGACGAAATTTGCTAAGAAACAAAAAACTTTTCCATACAACCTATTATTTCCACCCATAGTTCCTATGGCAGCTATATGCTATAGTGGTCCGATCCGGCTAGTTCCAACTGCGTGCAAGAAAAAGACGAACCAAAGTTTCGAGACGAAAGCTTTTAAAGTGCAAGATTAGACCGACATGGCTATTCAGAATATATATAGATATATGCTTTATGATTTCGGAGATTTCTTCTTCTATGCCGAACACATTTTGTGACACAATTATGATACCCTGTGCAAGGGTATAAAAAAGGGATAGACAAAAGCTAAGCCCGGATGTTCGAAGCTTAAACTCGTTGGGAATTGCAACGCGAAAGAACCTAAAGTTCACATGCCGTGGCTTGCAGAGAGACAAAGAGAAATTAATCTAATAAATATACATAAATGAAATGAATCATATTGAAAACTCAGGCTATGATAATTTATCAGAATTGCAAATGCCGAAGCTTAAACTAGTTTAACTAGCTTAAAATAAAGAAATTAACTTAAAGCTAATGATAACTTTCGATTTTGCATGCTTTCAGGCAATTACACAAATATAACAAACAGCACAGATCGTTATATACTAAAATCGGATGATAATAAAATTGAGAACGCAATTTTAATGATCGAGAACGTGACCCTGGACGACAGAGGCGAGTTCAAGTGCCACGGACGCAACGAGGCCAATGACTATGGCAATAGCACCGTTGCCACCGATTTTACGACCGTTCGTGTTAAGGGTGAGTCCGTGCGCCAGCTGCAGCAATGCAAAACTATATACAGTTCGATATAATATATATATATATATATATGTAAATGTTTCTGTTTGACAGGCAAATTCGCCGCCTTGTGGCCTTTCCTGGGCATCTGCGCCGAGGTCCTGATTCTCTGCCTGATCATTCTCATCTACGAGAAGCGACGCAACAAGAGCGAGCTGGAGGAGAGTGATACTGATCCACAAGAACAGTAAGTTGCCAACAACAACGACAACGACAACAACAACAACAACACAAGAAATCAACAACAACAACAACAAGCAGTCCACAACAACAACAACAACAACAACACCAAATAGTTGTAACAACATTTTGAAATGCAGCTTAAAATTTACATTTTAGTTAATAAAACTGCAAATTAAAGACGTTTGAAGCTGCATTCGCAAATGCGCAACAAACAAACACACACACAACACACACACACACACAACACACACACACACACACACACACAAGCGACGTACTTACACACAGACACAGCAGCAGCAGCAACAAATTTAGCAAAATTTTCTTCTTAGTTAACAAATAATATTATAAAATAATAAAAACAACAACAAAATATCAATGCACAAATCATTTGTTGTGTGTGGCGCGCACAACAAAAAGCTCAGCTAAAAAAAAATCATAATTTTTTATATAACTTTTCTATTTTGTTCATTTTTTTGTATTATAACATAAATGAATATTGAATATGATTTAGTGCACAATTTATTTAGCAGCTGGCTCAGGTTTTGCGTGCCACACAAAAAATAAATAAATATATAAAAACTATTTAATAAAATAAAACTTAATTAAATTTATTGTTTATGTGCTGCCCAGAAAAAAAAACAAACACAAAAATAATTAAACTGTGTGCTAAACGAAGGAAAAAACAAACTCAATTTGTGCTTAAAAACTGACAGAAACACACACACACTTACACACACACACCTACACACACACACACACACACTGAGCGTAGTTTTATAGCCATATAAATACTATATATTAATTATACAAGTATATATATATATATAAAAGTATGCCTTATGATTTCAAAGTCGAAAAATTGTTTGTAAAAAAAAAAAAGAAGTAATTTGTATTGTTTGCTGCGCTTTTGTTTTTCATTTGTTTATCTTTTTCACAAAATTTCCTTTTTGTATCGAGTGCATTGTTCAGATCGGAAAGTAGAAGCAGAAGAAGAAAAAAACATGTTATGAACTTTGTTTTAAGTACTTATTGTTTAATTCTAATTTAAATAATTAGTCACGCCTTGAACTACACACACACACACACACACGCACACACACAAAGTTTATCAATCTATATCGTTACTTATGTATATTATTATGACTATCTAAGCTTAAAGTTGGCAATAAATTTTGTTTATAACAATAACACAGCGACAACAACAACAACAACAACAACTAGATTAAAGCAAACTTTTCTTAAACTTTTCTTTTTATCATTTTTCTTTGGATTTTATGTTTTCCTTTCTTATTTGTTTTTTTATTGTAATTTGTAGAGCACATTGCGAGCGCCTATATCTAATTAGTTTGTACACACATAAATTTACACACACACACACACACACACACACACACACACACACGCACACACAACAAACACACACACACACAGAAAAGTATTTGTTTTCTTTGCGCACTTTTTTTTTGTTTGTTTCTATTTCAGTTTTCTTCAGTTTTTCTTTTCAGTTGGTTTTTTTTTTCTCTTACATTATTTTTGATTTGATTATAATTTCCTATATATATATATATATATATGTATATATATGTATATATATGTTTACCGCTATGTTTACAAATGATTTTTGCCGTCTATTATTATTATAATTACATTTAAATTTTGTATGAAAAAAAACTTTTGTGCTATTTTTTCGCTTATGATTTTGTGCGTTTTGAGATTGATTTCTACAAAAAGAATAAAAAAAAAAACAACAACAACAAATGTAAATTAAACAAAAAACAATTGAAATACACGCATTTTTTAATGTCTTCTCTTAATTTTGTATATTGTGTAGTGCATTATATTATTTGGCTTATGTATTAGCTTGATATCTTATAGAGATCGATCTGATCAGACACACACACACACACACACACACTTGTATAATAAACATATAGCTGTATATATATATGTGTGTGTATATATATATATATGTGCGCAACAGTATTAACTCGCAACTACAGAATTTGAGACCGAAACGAATTTGGGCTCGTTTTTGTTTTACTCTCGATGTGTCCATGTGCTGAAGCGCTTCCTTTATTGAATTTGTGTTGTGCTTGATTTTTCTTGAGTTGAGCTTTTCGTCGTATTTTCGTAGTGCCAAGAAATGTGCGTTAGCTAATTATCATGAAAAGCTAATCGAATTGTATTTCATTCTTTTCTTATTTTTCCCCTCCATAATGTGAAAAACCAAAACAAAAATCGTCTAAAACTAACAATTGTCGCAAAATTGTATGCCGTATGCCGTAGTTGATAAAATTCGCAATAAGTAAATAATTAATGCATAAGTTAAATAGGTAAATGCAACAGCCTGCAGCTTGATTGATTGATTGATTGATTGATTGAATCGATTGTTGTCGCTATCGCTCGCTATTGAAAACAATTACAGTTGATTACCAAAATGCAAAATCCAAATGCAATTCCACCTATCTAAATGAAAGCCCAGCGTTCGTTCAGCAAAGCAACCGAAAACAACAACAACAACAACTATAACAATAATTATATTAACAACAAGTAGCCTAATATTTGTACCAGCAACAACAACAACAACAACAACAAAAATGCAACCAAAAAAAAAAGTATAAAATTTGTAAAATTTTCATTTTGTACTTTTGAATTTATAATTTCTTGTTTGTCTCAAACGTAAACATTCTTGTCATGTATTTTTGAGATTTAACTAATTGATTGATTGATTGATTGATTGGTTGATTGATTGATTGCCGATGCCCCCATGCATTTAGTTATTTTGGTTGAACTTTGAACTCGATATGTTTCTAGCGCCATTTGACTCAAAACTCTTGACTCATGCGATTTTGCAATTTGTTTCTATTGCAGGAAAAAGAAAAGGAGAAATTATGATTAAAAATTCCTATAAAGACAGCCTAAAAAAATTCAAAATGAAAAACCAAATAATATAAACAAGAAATATAATTGAGCGCATTCAAGTTAAAAATGAAGAGCAGCAAGAAATGCACTATATTATACACATAATATACATACAACTAGCTAAAATGAGTGTTGTTCCAGTATACCCTCTCCCCTACCCAACCCCTCTTCCACTCCCGAATACACCCGAAAAAAGAACTTTGAAATTTCCGCAAAAATATTGTATGAAAGAACTTTCGTTTAGTCAAATTGTATTTTATTATATATGTATAAAAAAAAAAACAAGAATTAATATTAAAAAAAAAAAAAATGGATAAACAATTAAAATTAACAAACGAAAAGTGATAGCAGTTAAATGAACACTAAATCGGCAATTTAGTAATTAACTAAACGATCGACGGCATCCACGAGGATCTGTGGATAATGCAGACAAGTCCAGTATCCAACACCGAAAGCGCAGTGCTATTAACAACACTACAACTACAACTACAACTACAACTACTACTACTACTACTACTACAACTATACACACACACACACACACACACGCTGCCACATACATACGTAGGATTATACGCCATCTTGAAATACAAGCAAGTCGCAGAAAAGTTGTACATAACCTACAAATGTTTATTGTTTATAATTAAAAAACCAGCGAGTTCCGTTTTGTTTACACTTTGGGCCAATTATTTCAATTTATTTATCGTTTCGGATTGTTTCAGTTCCAGTTCTTGGGTGCGATCAGTTAAAAAAACAAAAACAATTTGGCAAAAAAAAAAACCAAAAAAAAAAAACAGAATTTAAAAAATACCAAAAAAAAAACTGTTGAACGAGAAATGTTAAAATTTGTTTATTAATATTAGTTAATATACAAAATGGAAAAAAAAAACCTAAAACCAAAAACTTTTTAAACAATTAAGTAGCGCGTTATGAGTATATTTTAATAACAAATTAAATAAATCATAAATGCTTTACGATTTATGAGAAAAGAAAAGAACAAGAGAGAAAATAAACATAAAAAATAAACATTGTATATTTGCATAATTTTAAACTATTACAACAAATGAGAAAATTTCAAATAAAATACAACAAATTGCGTACTGCCAAAACTTGTAAAGTTCAGTACTATTTGCTTAGATATATATATATATACATATATATATATATATTGTATTGATATGATTATGATTACGACGACTTTGCCTCATTTTTGGTAAACAAAACAAAAACTAAAACCCAAGCAAATCAAAACGCAAAACTAAAAAAAAAAACACTGTTAATTATTATTATCGATTTCTGTTAGTTGTTAACCTTTCGGTTGTATATGTATGTATGTGTATAAAAAACAAAAAAAAAACCAAGTTAATATACTAAAGCGGTCTTCAATTCGTCGTCTAACTCGTAATCCTTGATTTTGTTTTCATTTTGATTTTGTTACAAAATTGACAAATTTCTACACTTTTTTGCCGCCACCAAAGCTTTAAATATTTATATGGTAAACTGTGTTCTCAGTAAATGAAAAAAAAAATGAAATTAAATTAAATGAAAATAAATCAACTTATGTTGACATTTAAAACACGAGACATTTGTATAGTAAACTAATAAACTAATGAATAATAACAAATAACCGTTCTTGTTATATACGAAAAAAACCAAAAACTGAATCATCGTGTGTGTATGTTCGATATCGATATATGAATATCGATATATACATATATAAAATAGATATATATATATATATGAATAGAAAGAATTAAATAGCCTAGCAACATACTTTGAAACCGTCGTAATCGTAACGCTCTCGATGAATATCGATTAAAATGATATCGAAAATCGAATTGATGCAATTTAAGCGTTTTTGTGTATAAGTTTTTTATTGTACATGTACAAAATTGTTGTACAGTTTGTGGCTTATTTGTGTAACGACTATTTCTGACTATATATATTTATATATGCATAGATCTACATATATATATATATACATATGTTTGTATATATATATATATACATGTGTGTATGTGTATAGTGTATACAAAAATGTTTATTAAAAGTTGCTTTAGTTAATTAACACTCCTTCTCCTAAACTTTTAAAGCCCCATACTCACACACACACACACAGACATTCTCTCACACACACACACACACACACACGCA